TCTACAGATGACCAAACTGTGTTTCTTGTAGAATTCATAGTTGTTCTGGAGAAGCAGAATATGGTAGTTCTTGGGAAAAGTATGCGATAAGGTTTAAAGTGTCCAATAACAGATGTAAGTATTTAAACGTGTTCAAAAAATCCTATCCTATTAAACTTTGCATGTCGGGGTGTCAAACTTGTGTGAGGTCGTAATAAATTATTACCATGGCGAATGGTGTTCATCAACTCCAAAATGGCAACGTTAAGAAACTTCTAAAAGATGCTACTTTCTGTAAAATCTTAAAACGTGAAAGTAGTACTGGCTCAAAGTTGAGGAAAAGTATATGTTATAAAAGATAAAAGTCTTCATGTAATCAGGTTACAAAATGTTTTTGAAACTAATATATAATTTGGAACTAATAAAAAATAATTAACTGCACCATGGAGTTCTTTTTTAATTGCCATGAAGTTCTTTTCTACTATAATCTGATTAAAAATTTTTAAGTGTATAAGTAACTACGACGCAGTTACCTATAAACATAAAACTACGACGAATATCCTGCAAAGATGTTTCACTGCAATTCATCAAAAACTTAAAATAACCTCAAATATACTTTACAACAGATACTACATGCATTGCCTAAATTTCACAAAATGGCAGTCAAATTTCGATTTATAGCTAATGCGACCAGAAATTGCATGAAGAAAATAGACAACCGTTTTGCTGAAATATTTTTAAAAAATTCACAACTTAATTAAAGATATACAGATGCAAGACCACAATTTAAATTGGATAATTAATAATAACAAACTGGTACTAGAAGCGCATAGCACTATAAAGATTAAAAATATTTTCTGTTACAACTTTCAGAAGTTATACACGGCTCTTCCGTTACTAGAAGTACTATTTGAAGTCTTGCAACTCTTCCAGATTTATTTCCACAAATTATTACGATTATTTCCAAAGAAGAATTAGAGCTATATTTAAAAAGTATTCTTTTTAAAAACTACATTGCTTTTAATAATGCTTTTTTTTAAACAAATCAACAGAATTCCGATAGGAACCAGCATTAGTTCAGCTATTTGTAATTTGCACCTTTCGACTAAGAAATTCATTTCCAACAACAATCATCTCAAGCACATTGTTCATATTACACTAACATCTACAGATACATGGATGGTATTATTGCAATCAACAATTTCAATAAAATAGAATTCGATCACATTTATCCTTCATGTCTGAAACTCAATAACACTAACTTTCAACAAGGAGATATTAATTACTTTAATTTGCAAATTATCAATTTTAAAGATATCACAATTTGCAAAAAAAGAAATTTTGATTTCAATACTAATTAACTTATCCATTGGCACACCAATTATCTCCAAAAGAGTAATACTAAATACCAAACATACTCAACTCCTTAAAATAAAAAATATTTGCAACAAAGTCGAATACTTACAAGAAATCAATTATTTAGTCAAAATTCTCTTAGAGAATAAAACGCCTCTTTTAAAAATTTCTATAATTCTACAGAAAGCTGGTATAACCACCTTTTTTTTAATTTCTCATCTATAGCAATATGATAATTATTACTTAAACATTAATCAAAGGTAAAAGTTGGATGACTACAATAAGAAATTTAATGTAAATATGTACAAAGATTCCATTTCTTTTCCCCTCCAATTATTATGTATACTTTCTTTCCACTATTTTAAAATTTATTCTGACAAATATTCTTGCTTTTACCAAAAAAAATGGGGCTTTTTAGTTTCAAAGATGTTTTCTATCCCGATTACATGAAGACTTTTATCTTTTATAACATATATTTTTCCTTTTCCGCAAATCTGAGCCAGTACTACTTTCACCTTTTAAGATTTTACAGAAAACAGCATCTTTAAGAAGTTTCTTAATGCCGCCATTTTGGAGTTGACGAATACCCTTCCTCATGGTAATAATTTTTACGACCTCACCCAAGTCTGATAACCCTGCACACAAAGTTTAACAGGATACGATTTTTTTAACACATTTAAATACTTACTTCTGCTATTGGACACTTTGAATCTTAATTAAGATACAATAACACGCCAAACACAAATATTAATTTAGAAGTCAAACAACACACACACTTTCAAAAAAAATCTTTCTGTTCTAGTTAATGAGCCTAATTCCAATCCATCTTTGCCTTCAGCCTTTGAAGAAATTATGTTTTAGCTCTGGTTTCATCAACAGATGGTGCCAGTAGCTTATCTCCTGTCCAAGCTTTCTTATCTTATCTCATCATTATATCTTATCTCGTTCATTTGCGCTTTTGTAGCTGAGGGATGATGGTTCGGTAAAACCATCGAAACTAGTCCTGAGAGAATTTGAAAATATAACGCTGATTTTTGTTGTTTGACTTCAAAATTAACTTTGAATCTTATCACATACTTTTTCCAAGAACTACCATTTTCTGCTTCTCCAGAGCAACTATGAATTCTACAAGAAACACAGTTTGGTCATCTGCAGAATTAATTAAATTTTTGTTTGAAGGTCGTCATATAATTTCAGCAAGTCTGCGTTTTTTTTTTTTTTTTTTTTTTTCAATTTTGTTTCTAATACGCTTTTAGTTTTCTGCAAAAGTAGGTTCAGATTTCCTTTTATTATTTAAAGCAATCTCTGAAAAGTTTTTCATTTTCTTGGAATTAAATGTTTAGTTAAGCATAATTGGGGACCACCCATTTTCAGAGTATTGTTTAAATGACCGTCTGGTTTAAAGTACATTTGTATTGCGCTCTATATTCATATTTGATTTTGAATTTCGGATTTGCATATAATATTTCTTGACCACTTTATTTATTTATTTTTTTTTTTTTCCCAAATGGTCATTTTACATAATGTAAACTAAACTCAGTGGCGCAACAGCCTTAGTAGGCCACGACCTGCAGTGCCCTGAAATCTGCTTTCTTGACCTTGGGCCCTGGAGTGCATCAGTATATGCCCTGGACAAACAGTCAGCTTGTCACAGGACCCATGGTGTTTAGTCCTCAAGTGAACTTGGTACTCATTTTATCAACCCATTCAAGGGATGAAAGGCTGAGAACATTGTCCAGCCCAGGGATCGAACCCCGGACCTGTGGGGCAGCTGCATGATGCGCTACCCACTACATGATGTAAAGATTTATGGTTTTTTTTGTGTAGTCAATTTGATACAATGTTATATTTTATTCTTTTTTCCAAGTGTTTCAAAGGCGTGTAGAGAAAATCCTGGTACATTTGAGATTCACTTTTTTTTTTTTTTTTTTTTTTTTTCTGTTTTATGAATTTTAATGCAATGACAATTTGTTTCTTTTTTCAGTTTTTGATCTGAAATGAACCACGAGAAAGAAACATGTTTTCGAAGAATATTAATCAACTTTTATGAAGCTATAATTTATTTTCCCCTAATGAGTTCTGAATTGGAGTTTCAGTAAAAGGAGATTAATTTTTATATTTTGATTTCTTGTATATTTCTTCCCTTTTGCTATTTTAGCTTTCGAGTTTGTACTACTGTGATCCATTTTTAATTTTGAATTGTTTAGATATTGTGTTAAACCTCTTATACAAGAATGCAATTATTAATATTGTTGAGGAATTGCCTTGCTTTGACTCCAATTTCCTTTTAACTTTAGATGCTCTAAGTTATTTTACTTCAACCCTGCAGCTATAGCGCAGGACAGGTATAAAAAATTTATTTTTAATTTTTGCCTCTTATTAAGTTCCTTTTAATGTGTATACATATATATATATATATATATATATGTACACATACACCCATACACACATATATAATGAAAGTTAATATGAACATAAAAAAAGCTAAGAGTTTAAAAATTCTAATAAAATAAAAGGCTTAATTATAGTTAAGAAAAATTTGTATTACATTAAAACTTAAATTTACTAACAAGTTTTATTTGTTAGTAGTTGTGATGTTCATTACATCTTTCATTACAAAATCCCAGCTGTTTAATCTGCACATCATAATCAATATTTAAATCTAAGTTTTTTAAGCCATTTTTTTATCTTCAGTACCTCTATAACTGAAGCCCCAAAATAATACATTACTAAGACACTAGATGACTCGCATCAAGAGCATCTACGGCGTAATATTTTTTAAATGAACCAAAAAATACAGCATGCCTCTCCTTTTAAAAAATTTATGCCGAAAAAATATGCTTTCAATTTGAATTAAAACACGCTTTCTATTGTATTTCAAAGCAAGCATACATATTTTTAGGATATCAGATTTTTTTTTTTTTTTTTTTTTGGTTGTTGTTGTTGTTGTTGCTGCTGCTGTTAAGTCAATGCTACAATATGAAAAACAGCTGACATAAAGCACACACTTACTAAATTCATATTAAAGGTTTCCAGCTTTTATCAATCTCACGTAATGATCACATCTTTATAAGCCAAATACTAATATTACATGATTACATAACAGTACCGTATATTATATTAATATACATTAATATTACACTTTTATCAGAGTAACTCAGAGGTGAGTAAAGATTCAATTAATATTTTTCACTCTCATGTCTGATTTCAACAAATGAACATACAGTTTTAAATGCCCTAATCTATATTTTTATTATTTTATTTTATTTTACTTTCTTTACTATCTATTTACTTTTTAATTTTAAGAATACACATTCTTTGTAAAAAAAAAAAAAAGAAAAGAAAAAAAAGAAAAGAAAAGTCATCTACTTCTGCCGTATTCTGTTTTGTAAAAAAGGCATTAAGAAAATGTTACATTAAAGAATCACATCTTCTGCTGAATCTGAAATGAAGTATATAGTAATAAAATACTTGCTTATTTTCAGAAACTTTATTCTGGTTTCTGTAATTGTTTTTAAATTACGACATTATATACTACGTTAAAAATATGTACCGTATATTTTAAAGCCTCAACTTAGATCTCAAATCTCAGACATAATACTGAACTGGAATTATTAAATATATATAATAATTTTTTAATTATACATAATTCATAAACATATCACCTGCCAGTTGCCCAGGTTGTTATTTGAAAACAGTTTCAGAATTAGGCCAATCAAGGCACCTGAAAGAAAAAATTATTTGATTTAATATTTGCAGAACACCGCATATTTAATGTATACATAACTGAGTTTTTTAGAATGAAAAAACTTATACAATAATTAAGGCAATTATTAAACATGCTCGGAATTTGCTTCCATTCCTACCTGCCATGGAGGCAAAGAATGATGTCGCAAACATCTACTTATAAGTCTAAAAAGTCATCGCCATTTCAAGGTACAGTCTACATTATATGCATGTGAAATTAGGGAGCTTGCTGTCCTGTCACTGACATCCTTCATTGCTAGCCACAGAGACTTTCTCAGAAGTCTTTAGTGTTTCCATGTTCTATCATTCCTGTAAATGTGCAGAATTTCTATGCCAAATCAACTAGAGCTACTGGAAAGTCAAGATTTTGCCCTCTGGTACTTTCTGCCGCCCAGCGATCTTTTTTCCCTAATTAATATTTCTTTTTGCATTCACTAAATTTGTTTTTGTCATAATGAATCATAACATGACTGTGGAGTTTTCTGGCTATGGGGGAAAATGCTGTTACATAAAAAAAGAGTAAAGCAGAAGGAGGGTTTTTTTTTTTTTTTTTTTTTTTTTTTTTTTTTTTTTTTTTTTTTTAAACAAAATGTTGAACAACAGAGGCTGCAAAAATTCCCATTCTGTGATGATGTATTTCTTAAATGGCCACATTTTATGGAAATTCCAGCAAAATACTACAATATGGGTTGAAAAATGGTTTTAAAATAGTCATATCTTGTTCATGACAACTGTTTGCTTTATTTATTATTGGACAAAGGAGCATACATCAATAAAATTATGTGATCTCTTCAAACATAATTTTTGATTGGTGTATGTGTGACTTATCTGAGAAGTGTGTGTGTGTGTGTGTGTGTGTGTCTGTCTTAAAAAATAATGTTAAAAAATATAAGCAATGCCAAAATAGACATAAGGATACTTAAACTTTTCTCTTTGAAGTCGACAATTAGTTTGCAAATATTCTCCAAAACTGCCAACGATTCGAAAATGCTCTCCAAAGCCACAAATGAGTTCAGGATTTTACAGTTGGAATGGGGATAATTGGAAAGCACCAAAGTTCCAGTATCGGCAGATAGTTGAATGCTCAACACAACAACTAACCCATGTCAGCCATGTCACCACTACACCTTCTTACGATTCATCTCCTCAGTAATTTTTTAATATACTTATCTAGTTGATCTTGAGTCACGGACTTTCGATTTTTATTTTTGATTACTTATCTGTTCCTTCTACAACAAGCCATTAAAATTTTATACCTTTTTATTTTAAATAAGTGATTTTTATTTATTGCAATTTGCATTGTAAATATTCAAAACAGATTAAATTCAGCAAAATATAAACTTCCGTTTAGATTTAATGGGCCTATATCTCTGCATTAGAGCAGTGATACAATACAAAATCAATAATCCAGACTCGTTGGGACTTCGGCGATTCCGGATTATAGATCAATGAATTTAAACCTGGTAAGATGGCATGCAGAAATTATGCAATTAAAAATATGAAACCGTAATTTATGAAATAAAGAGCAATTATGATCAAAATTTACAAAAAAAAAAAAAAAAAAAAAAAAAGCTTAATATTTACTTGCTTACTTTAGTAAACATTTCTTTCAATGCAAGTTGTTTAAGTTGCTTCGGTTTTTGTGCTAATACATTCTCTTTGATTTTTTTATAAATATACATAATTTCTTGTTCAGTTACAAAGTTCTACTGTTCAAGTCCTGTAATTGCTGTGTCGAGAATACTGACTAACTTGTCGATTGAAATTTTTTCGTTTTCAATAACGTTCTCTGTTACTTTCTTCACTATCGGAAGCTCGCATAGGTAAACGCTTTACTGGCTTTACGCGCACGCGCCCATCAAACGCACATGCGTAAGTTTGTGGCTTTGAGGTCCGGATTATAGATCATTCTGGATAATGGACGTCCAAATTACGGACTTTGTACTGTATTAATATAGTACAGTCAAAAGTCGTTAATCCGGACTTGTCAGGACTTCGGCAATTCCGGATTATAGATCATCAGTTTAAATCTGGTAAGATAGCAAGCAGAAATTATAAAATTAAAAATATGAAACCGTAACTTATGAAATAAAAAACAATTATGATCTAAAGAATATCAAAATTTACAAAAAAAAAGCTTAATATTTATTTCTTTACTTTATTAAACATTTCTTTCAATGTAAGTTGTTTAAGTTGCTTCGTTTTATGTGATAATACTTTTCCTTTGATTCTATAAACAGACATAATTTCTTGTTCAGTTATAAAGTTCTACAGTTCAAGTCCTGTAATTGCTGTGTCGAGAATACTGACTAACTTGTCAATCGAAATTTTTTCGTTTTCAATAACCTCGTGTCACTTTCTTCACTATCGGAAGCGAATTATAATGATGAGGAATTTGATTTAAATCATATCAAAGACAAAGTACATCGAGATGAAACACTACATTTAGTAAGGAATTATAAGCCAAATAAAATAAAAACATCGGCCCTGAAGATAAGGATAGTACTGACAGATTAACTTCCAATTCATCGCGTGCTGCAGCGTCCCCCCCCCAGCCGCAGAGCAGCGTGAAATTGATAAACAGATTTCGGAATGGTTAGAGAAACGAAGGATATGCCTTTATCCATTTTTTGTAGCAATTCCACTTTTTGTTTAATGGACTTCGAAACATACTTTCGCTCTGTAAATCCTTTACATATTAGTAAATACATATCGGAAATTCTATTTGACATAATCGAAAGTTCAAGCTTACTTTTATAAAATTGCTCTAACAGTCTGCAAAAAATAATAAGCCGGATCCAATTCGAAGATTAAGGAACAACGCAATCTGCAACATTAACTGAATTAGATAATTTTAGCTTAGCTTATACCGTCCGTTATACATTAAGCGCGCATGCGTAAATGTATTATGTGCATGCGCACACGCATATTCGCAGCCATAAAGGTCTTACGCGCATGCGTCGATGCGACGCGCAGAAAATTTGTAGCTTTGCGGTCTAGATTATAGATCATTCCGGATTATGGGTGTCCGAATTAACGACTTTTGACTGTATTATTATACGGTATATTATTACAGAGTTACAGTATTGTTATAGTATATTGTTCTTCTGATCCTGAGATACCTAACAAGATCATATCCACAAATTAAATGCGGTAAAGATGAAGAGAACATCTATAGTTAGCCAAAGCTATGGGCATCTTATAGACAACACTACGTTCCATTCCCACATCCATTCCAATTTTGATTAAGAATATCCGGGATGGGATATTTTGGAAACCCTTATTAAGCCCTACTACCAAAAAAATGCTGTAGATACTCTAGTAGTTCATATCTAGGATGGAATCTTTTAAGTATTAAACACTGTATTTTATTTGTAGAAGAAAAAACACCATGAAAGTTAAAATGTGCAAAATTTTATAATTGTATGTCACAAAACTTTAGTTTACCTTCTACTGTGCTTCAAACCCTGTCATTCTACTGAATAAAAGACTTATTCTTAGTTTCATTTTCTTTTCCTATGCCCTCAAAATTTACTCCTCTAGTCAGTTCTAGATAAATGACTTGCACCTTTAAGGGTGATTGCAATTGGCAGAGACAAATTAATATCATTAACGAAGCACTTAAAAAATTTTCATCTCTAAACAACATTTAACAACTTCCGTTTCAGCAATTATAAGAATTCAGTAGTTAATTTTTTTTTTCCCACTGATTAGGGTTCTCTTTGAATCTGGTCCTGATAACAGAACAGTACGCAGTTATCCCATATTTTTTTAAGCAAATACAGATCACAGCATACATGTGGTGAACATCATGCACAATGCCAAACTGGAGGGATCACAGTCTACAGTTACTGGCTGAAATGTCAGAAGTGAAAAGTCATCTGGAAGGATGTAAATTGAATACAGTCAAAAGTCGTTAATTCAGACACCCATAGTCCAGAATGATCTATAATCCAGACCTAAAAGCTACAAACTTTCTGCTCATGCGTCGCGTTGACGCATGCGCATAAGACCTTTACGGCTGCAAATATGCGTGTGCGCATGCACAAAATACGTTTACGAATGCGCGTTTAATGTATAACGGACAGTATAAGTTAAGCTAAAATTATCTAATTATCTATTTCAGTTAATGTTGCAGATTACGTTGTTCTGAAATCTTCGAATTGGATCCGGCTTATTATTTTTTGCAGACTGTTAGAGCAATTTTATAAAAGTAAGCTTGAACTTTTGATTATGTGAAATAGAATTTCTGATATATATTTACTAATATGTAAAGGATCTACAAAGCGAAAATATGTTTCGAAGTCCATTAAACAAAAAGTGGAATTGCTGCAAAAAATGGATAAAGGCATATCCTTTGTTTATCTAACCATTCCGAAATCTGTTTATCAATTTCACGCTGCTCTGCGGCTGGGGGAGGGAACGCCGTGGCGCGCAATGAATTGGAAGTTGATCTGTCAGCACTATCCTTATCTTCAGGGCAGATGTTTTTATTTTATTTGGCTTATAATTCCTTACTAAATGTAGTATTTCATCTCGATGTACTCCGTCTTTGATATGATTTAAATCAAATTCCTCGTCATTAGTTTAATAAAGTAAACAAATAAATAATAAGCTTTTTTTTTTTTGTAAATTTTGATACCCTTTAGATCATAATTGCTCTCTATTTCATAAATTATGGTTTCATATTTTTAATTTTATAATTTCTGCATGCCATATCTTACCAGATTTAAACTGATGATCTATAATCCGGAAAAATTGATAATCCGGAAACCCCGAAGTCCTGACGAGTCCGGATTAACGACTTTTGACTGTACTTGAGCTGTCATATAAATATTTTTTTGGGCGACACTGTGTGAGATGGCACATAAATACTTTTTGGCAGCATGGTGCACTGCCTCAACAGTACTTTTGTTGTGACTTTCCTGTGTGTGGGGAATCAGAACACATCCTTTATTATTTTATTTAATGTTGCTAATGCCTTATAATGCTTAATTTATACATCTAACTTAACCGTCTGACATAAAAGTGCTTGCTGTTATCTTTAGAAAATTTTGAATGAAATATCCAAGGATATAAGGACAATTACTAGACATGTAAACAGATGATAATAATAAAATGAAGAATTCTTACCAAGAAAAACAACAGATACACTTTCTGGCAGGTACTGGAAATTTGTTTGAATCAGTAAGTGAATGAGTAATATACATAAAGCTGAAAAATGAGAATGAGAAAAAATCCCATTTCAGTATCAATGCATAAATATCACATCACAAATTATAAGCAACAAAAGCAGTAACAACAAAATGGACACTCAATTATCAATATACTTACCCATTACTATAAGTACAAAGAATATGGCCATACTAGAATGATGTTCTTCCTCAGCTGATCCTTTGTGTGGCAAAACTGCATCAAGCGATGAAACCGTTGAAGTTGTTGACCCAGATGTTTCATTGGTGGTATCTGTATTATTACCTGTTTCCACCTGAGAACTAAATGACACAAAATACAACAATAATGAATATAACTTCCCAACTGTATTTTTATACATATAAGGTAGGCAACAGATACTCAGAAATACTATTAATTTAATTTAGCTTCAACAGTGTAGCTTTGGCGTCAATTCTATAGTGTTTATAAACTTATACGACAAAATCTACTTTTTAGTTACGACACACATGATCAACTAACTGCCAGTAAGCAGTTAGAGTATACTGAAGGGTACCCCAAGTATTATCGCAAAGTTGCTGTTTCATTTATGGTAACCTGAGCAGTTGAATGTTCTGTAAATATACCTTTACCTAGAATTGGGTGCTTTGACATTTAAAGCGAAAATATATCAATTAGTGCATGAGAAAAGTCAAGGGAGTGCACAATGCCAAGTTTGTGCAATTCTCTGATTTTTTTTAAGCGAAAATAGGTCGATGTGTACATGGATAAATAGTCAAGGGAGTGCACAATGCCCAGTTTGTGCAATTCTGTGATTTTTTTTTTTTTTTCACGTGAAAAATAACTCAATGTGTACACAGATACTGAGTTTGTGCAATTCTTTGACTTGTTATTTTGGCTTTGTGTAGCGGTAATTTTAGGTACAAAGTCAAAATAACAGGAACTGCACAAACTCGGCATAAATGTAGCGCCAAAAATCGCCAATTTTCACCAAGGGATACCAGTAAAACATACTTTTACCCAGTAAGAGAAATGCAGACATTTTCCTTATCAACGACCTACAGCTAAGTTAAAAATTTTTATTATATTAAATGCATTTATACTGATATGATAGTACCTGCCATTAGAAGAAAATCACTACTTCCTTGATTAAACATCAAAGTTAATTAATAACTGAAAATCAATTCTACGAAACATCTCATGCAGACAACCTGTTCTTTCACTTTATGTATCACGGACAAACATATACAAAGTATTACTGATTATTTAAGCTACAAAACGTGCATTAAATTTTTTGATTTACTAAAATTCTGCGGTACATACTTTCAAGAAAAATGCATTTTACTTCCCAATAAAATATGCACACCTGATCATGATATGCACCTACATATTAAAATATTCGGAGATGTAACATTAAAAGTTGCATGCAGAAGCATTCCTGTTGTAAAACTGGATGTATGGTTCCAAGATACCATTTCTAACACTAGCACCAGCATATAGAGCAGGAAAAACTTTTCAAAACTGTATTAATGGCAATTGCAGATATACGACCATCAAAACTACATGCAAAAAATAACACCCACATCACAGAATTTATTGCTTTGCAATTTTCTTTTACCATAGCTACCATATCATACAAACAAGTCAAACAATGACTCAATAATAATAAACAAGTCACTGTAATGAAGAATAAATGCAGCTTCCTAAAGACCTTAAGGTTCCAAAAGATGAAATCCGACTTTGTCTGCCAAAAAGCAAATCTTATCAACTTAGAAATCTTAAGTTATGCACACTGATCAGTCAGTAAGATGTTAAAACTTCAAACCAACTGTTATTCATTTGGATATAAGTGGATGAATAAGCTGATTGCATTATGTTTTAGCATAACCTCATTTGGTACCTCATATGTACTATAAAAATAGGCTATTTGCATAACTAAGTTCTTTCCTAAAGGCATTCCTTAACACAAGCAGACCTTGTGTGCTCTGTTCAAGACTTCAGACAAGCAAGACAAGTTCAAGACTTCAGACAAGCAAGACAAGTTTAAGACTTCAAACAGCAATTAAAAATCTTGGTTAGTCTATAGGGTGCCCCTTGGATTAAACACCAAGTTGTTCCATTTATCGCCAAATTGCTGTTTCATTTACTTTAACCTGAGTAGTTAAATGTTACGGAAACCTTATTATGAAGTGATTGGGTGCACAATTGCAGTGAATTTAACTGATGGGAAAATGTGTGGTGTGTGTGGTGTATTTAATTATGGCAAAGCACACTAGGACTATCTGCCTAAGGGGAGGGATGCCTTTCGTGGAGGACTTTCTAAGGGAAACTGGCTCGTATACACGTTACACATGGGGAAAACCACGAAAACACCCATGCAGCCAGCCCGTTCGCAGGATTCGAACCTCGGACCGAACTACCAGTGTTCAGCGACTTTACCGCTCGGCCGCTGGTGGGCACTGATGGGAAAATATTTCTGTAAAAATATACTTCAGGGTGCCCCTTGGTGAAAATTGGTGAATAGCCAGGCACAATTTCAAGATCGAAGCTACACAAAAACCAAAATAATAAGTCCAAGAATTGCACAAACTTGGTGTCCATGTAATTGCACAAACTTGGCATTGCACATTCCCTTTGTTCATGCACACATCAAACTATTTTCACTTTTAAAAAAATCAGGAGGATGACAATATTATGTAATGTTAAAATAAAGTTACTCATCTCCAAAACTGAATAAAATTTATAGCCAATCAAAGCTCAATAAATTGCATTTTAAATCACATAATGAAACAACATAAAAAGAGAAATACACATTATTGCATATACGCACTACAAAAAGAAAATAGTATCGAGTTACCATATTTAGAAATTTCTCTGTCTTCAGTCTGTGGCACACAAAATTCCTTAACAGCACCCAAAAACTTTAAAAAATTACCTGAACTAGAATATGCATATTGCCATCAGCATATAAATTCATAAAAATAAGAATAAAAAATAATCTCCATAGTGCCGGCCTGTCGGTGGCATTTCTTGCATGAACCTTTTTTCCAACAAACCCATTCAAAGCCATCTAAGAGATCTTTGACCATATGCATTTCCTTTGTACAAACAGGACACTTATAATGACTACTTCATTTACACACCAGTCAATTAATGCTTTTTTTCCCTTTCTTTCCAAATCATACAGAAACTTCAAATTAATCTCATCACATACAGCCATTTTACAGTGTACAGCATAAAATAAGCAACATAATTTCTAACTGACATCCAACACAGAAAAAAGCCCTTACAAATATTTTCCCATCAGTCAAATTCACCGCTATCACACAACCAATTATGTCACAACAGGGTTTCCATAGTACACAACAGGGTACATTACCCTACTCAGGTTGCAATAAATGAAACAACAATTTGGTGATAAATAAAACACCTTGGTGATAATTCAATGGGTACCCTAAAATATAGACTAACCAATATTTGTAAGGGCTTATTGCTACATTGGATGTCAGTTAGGAAGTATGCTGCTTATTTTGTGCTGTACATCGTAAAATAGCTGTATGTGATGAGATTAATCTGAAGTTTATGTACGATTTGGAACAAAAGGAAAATAAAGCATTAATTGACTGGTAAGTAAATGAAGGTTTACTTAGTAGTCATTATAAGTGTACTGTTTGTATGAAGGAAATGCATATGGTCAAATTTAAAGATCGCTCAGATGGCTTTGGGTTTCTTGCAAGAAAGGTTCATGAAAGAAATGCCACCAACAGTCCGGCACTACAAAAGGTATTTTTTACTGTTATTTTCGTGCATTTACTTGGTGACAGCAGTATGTATATTCCAGTTCAGATAATTTTAGAAAGTTTTTGGATGCTACTAAGGAATTTTTTGTGCTAAAGACTTAAGACACAGAAATTTCTAAATATGGTAAGTAGCTATTTCCTTTTTATAGTCTGTATATGTGATAACGTGTATTTCCTTTTTTATGTTATTTCATTATGTGATTTAAAATGCAGTTTATTGAGCTTCGATTGGCTACAAATTCTGTTCAGTTTTAGTGATGAGTAACTTTATTTTAACATTAGATGATGACGTCATTCTCCTGATTTTTTTTTTAAGTGAAAATAGATCGATGTGTACATGAAAAAAGTCAAGGGAGTGCAAAATGCCAAGTTTGTGCAATTCTCTGATGATTTTTTAAGTGACAACAGACTGATATGTACATGGACATCGAGTTTGTGCAATTCTTTGACTTGTTATTTTGATTTTGTGTAGCAGCCATCTTGAAATTGTGCCTTGCTGGCCAATCGCCAATTTTCGCCAATGGGGCACCCTTAAATATATTTTTACCAAAATCTTTTGGAAATCATCACATACTGAAAAATGCACAATATTAAGTTTTTGTTAAAAATGAAATGGTTGCTTTACATAACAACTGCCAAATTTCTGGGCAGATGCCATAAATTTGTTAGCAATGAAATGTTTTAATCGATAAATACAGTTGAAAGGCAAAAATCAAAACTCCAATAACAAAAAAAAAAAAACAAAAAAAAAAAGTTAACAAAGAAAAATTACTTTTTTATATATTTTCTTGAAAGCTGGACACTTCATATCACATAACTTAAAAAAAATTCCAGTTTTATAAAAAGTTTAAAAAAAGTAAGTGCATAATTTAAAAGTACGTATTTTTAATTTCTGTAAAATAAGTACTGTGAAGAGGTCATTTTAGATAGGGTTATAGAAGAGTTCTGTATAGTGTAACAAGTATTTATTAAAAGGTTTAAGTTACACACGGACATTACATTTAACTTTAAGAAAAATTACAGAGCAAGAGTCTGGCACAACCTATCAAGTGGGACACTTGGCTTTTACTGAAGTACTTCTCTGGTTACTCACCAGAGGGCAGCCTTGTTGTCACAGTTAGTCCAACAGTTTATGTTAAGGGATTGGTTACAGTACTTTTAAAAGTACACATTTTTAATTTATGTCCAGAAAAATATGTCCAAATTTTAAAAATTATACTTTTTACACAACCAGTTTCTAAATAATTTTGGTTATAAAAGTGAAAGTCAAGATAATTTAACAAATAAAACAAGATAAAACATGATATGTATTATTAAAGATGCAGATATTATTATTAAATAATAAAGAATCAATGATATCTATATGTTTCTCTCATAGTGAAACAGCAGCCACAGCAGTCCCTAGAGCCACCAAACTTTGAATATACTTAGTTCTCCACCTTAACGTGTGCACCTCGAAGTTAGAGTTTTGCATTTGTTTTTTTATTTAAATCAGATCTTGTAAGAATTTTATGAATCCAGCA